AAATGCAACTTGGTTTCTGATTCCAGAGTTTGCAAACAGGGTTTTGTTTCCTCAACTGGGGAGTTATCGATGTGATGCATTGTTTGCATGTGTATTGGCTTTACTTCCTCTTCATGCACTTCCTCCGCAGCATCCTCTGAGCGTCGAGCTTCTCTTTCCTCAAATGAGCTGAAATATTCACTTTGACCCTCCATTGTAGACATCTCCTCTTTTGGTGATGAAACTGCTGCTTGCTCGTCTCCATATTTAGGCTCTGTATGTCCTCTGTATTCACTTTTCTCTGTGGTTATCTCTGGTTTGCCAGAGGACTCTACACTGTTTGGTTTTATATGTGTGTCATTCACCGAGTTGAGTGGCTGTAAAATTCCCCACCGTGTTAACAAGTCTGTGTCCTCATCCTTTTCTTTACTTTCTGTATCTGTTTCAGCACAGTAAGTACTAGCAGGGGAATTCGGTTGTTCAGTTACCTGTATCTCAACTGACGGACTTGAATGTACATTAACACTAGTTAACCCGGAGTTGCTACTTTGTGCACTTTCATTATTGCCATCACAAACTTCTTCAGTCTGAGATGGGCCCACTTTGTCCATTCCCTCCAGCATCATTTGCATTGATATTCCCACCTGGACTTCTGACTCTGGCATTAATGACATCTCTGATTGAACACCAGGGCTCTCCACACTCTTTTGTCTTTTATTTCTGCGTCTAGACCCCATTTTTCTTCTGTTGCTAATGGGGTTGAAGTCAGTGTTGCTTTGGTCATCCATTATCACAGAAGTGTCCTGAGGTTGTGAGTCAAAAGGTGCATGTGTTTCTGATTCCGTGGTTTCTAGAGGAGATTTGCTCTCAGTCACATCAGTAGGGCGTCCTTCTTTCTCCTGGTGACTTGTTTGTTCTTTGCTTGGTTTTATATCCTCCTCTAATTGGCGTTCATTTTCAAATACCTGACCTACTGCAGTGTCCAATCTCTCTATGTCACTGGTCTCTGGATTCTCTGGATCATATACTTGATCATCTTTCTGTTTGAAAGCCTCCACATTGCTTTGTTTCTCAGGGTGCTCATCCTGTTTGTGATCAGGTTTTGAAACTTCCTGCTCAGTAGCTGAATCTGCCACCCCCTTCACACTCGAGTCAGATTGGGATGACTCACTGACTTCAGCTTGGTCTGTCAGGTTTACGAAACAGATTTCAGAATTCGCACTCTCAAAGGAATGATCAATCAGATGTATTTCTTGCATTTCTGCAGGTTCAACTGCCTCTTCATTCAAGTTCTTAGCCCCTCTGACTTCAGATAAGCTGAAATGCTCATTTTGTTCCTCATTTGTAGACACCTCATTTGGGGATGAATCTATTGCTAACTGAACACAGCACTTGGGTTCTGTGTGTTCTCCGTGGTCTTTGTCTGTGGATGTCTCTAGTTTAGGACACTCTAAATAGTCTGATTTCACATGCGCCTCATTCACAAACTCACTGGCCTGTAAACTCCCCCACTGCATTAACAAGTCTGTGTCCTCGTCTCTTTCTTTACCTTCTGCGTTTGTTACAGAGTACACACTGGAAAGTTCATGTGGCATCTCCCTGACATCTGATTGGTTTTTCACTGGTTCACTGACTGAGGGAGTTGGTAGGAAATCTGAACTATTTAACCCAGAGACACCAACAACATGTGCAACTTCTTTCCCTTCAATTTCATCAGTGTCAGGTCTGTTCATTCTTTCCAGTGTTGTTTCCACAGATTTGACCTCTGTCTCTGTAAGTGATGGAAATATTGCTGTTTCAAAGGCATCAAAACCTCCAACATTTTCAACTGGTTGCTCTTCAGATTCAGCAGCAGAGTCCTTAACATGCTGTCGCCTTTTATTTCTACGAGTAGACCCCAGTTTTTTTCTATTCACTGATATTAAATCAGTGTCAGTTCGCTCCTTTGTACTGGCAGAGCTATCCTGAAGTTGGGAGTCCAAAGGAAGGGAGAGGTGCTCATTTTGATTATCATCTGCAAGTTCAGTATATAGTCTGGGGCTGTTTTTGTCAGTGGTTACCTCTGGTGTCATGGAACACCCTGTGTCTGCAGATTCTACATGTGACTCACCCTTCAAACAGTTACCCTCAACATTCCCATCTTGCCTTGACAGGTCGGTATCTTCCACTCTTCTCTTTTCATTTTCTCTCACACTGAGAGAACTAATCAAGTCAGAGCCGCTTGCAATATTTTCTTTGACTTCCTCACTCTTTAGAATGGCAGATGCACCAGTCACTTCCAGCATGGTTTCCACTAACCCATAAGAGTAAGATGGTTTTTCATCTTTGTCTGCTTGTTGATTTCCACTGATGTCCTGAACCTCACAAGAATAACCAGACGTGGTGGATGAGCATAAAGAGCTGTCATGTTTTACAGAAGAATTCAGCCCTTGACTATTTAACTCTTCCTGCCCCTCAGATTGTGTTATTTCGAGGTCTTCATTGCCAGAGGTGCTTTCTTTGAGTTCCTGTCTATGTTTGTGGTGTAACTCTGTCGCCGAGTCCTTTACATGCTGTTGCTGTTTATTTCTTCTTCTGGAACCCAGCTTTCTTCTGTTTGCTGTAGTAAGATGCTGGGTTTCAGGTTGTGAATTGTGAGGACTAGACAATACACTTAATGGTTCTTTATCTCCTTCTGGTTTTGGTACATTAGTATTGTCTGTTACATAGAACTCGTCAACACTGGGTGTTTCACTTTGGTTAACTACCGAGTGATGTGAATCAAGGCTTTGCTTTGTTCTTTGAGCAGACATGATTTCTAATCTTCTCTCCTAGAGCATGAGACATTAAGTAATGCAAGAGATCAAGTTCAGTTTATCAGATATCAACTGAATCTAGTAAATTATTTCTGTCTTCAACTTGGATTAACTATTTTGAAACCACAAAAAGACGCATTAGCGCCCCATACAACCCACATGCTGCAAACATCACACTCTACCAAAAAATGCAAACGTTCATTTATTTTTGAAGAATTAACCCCAGTAATTAACATAAAGGTAAAATGGATCAGTTTGTATCGCATTTCAAGACCGTCTAAATAGCCACATCTACTTACCCAAATCTGACACCTCTGTCATCTCTCTTGAGCTGCTTTGTAATGTCAAGTCAACAGCTTCAGCTCAACATTTCATACATGGGGGTGTTCCTGTACTGCAACTATGTCTGGAAACTTCCTGTGTGGGCCTCACACACAGCCTCTATCAACTACATGCAACAACATTTAGCACTTCCTGAATTTAGTCATGCTTTATTTTCCATAATCACTTTTCATCAACGTACGTGTCAAAGCTTTCCATATAATTAAACTTATTATAAGCACCTATCCATAATTAAAAAACATGAGCAACAAGGAGTTTTTCACCTTGGAAAACATTTATTGAACAAGAAGTTTGACTGCATCACCACATATTGTCAGAACTTCAGAGAATCAAGCAAATAATAAGAGTCAATGCTTCTGCAAAAGTGACATAAGTAAGAAAAAAGAATCACAGCGGATTTTTTTAGTTTTCAAGAATAACCTGCATATTACAGCCCCAGTATTTACACCACTAGTTAAGAGTCTGTTTTTGTCACTGGTAAAAAGTATGCTCCTTTGACTGGTGATGCATTATTACAGAAACCAATTGTAATTTAAAGGACAGCCGAGAAAAAGAAAACAAAAACAAATAAAAGCATCACATGTAGTTTAATTCAGTTAGGCAGTTAAAAAGTAACAGGATAGAAACTTAAAACAAAATCCAGTAATTAATTTCTTGACATGCAGGGTAAGAAAAATTTGATTCATGTAAACAGTGAATTCAATACCAAAAAAGAAAGATGTTTTTGTTGTCAATTTAACAGACTGCCATTACACCAAATGTAACAAGCTAACCTTAAACTGCTTCAAGCTGACAAACAAAATCTAAAAAGAAAAACGTGACTATAAAAACTTTGTATTTCCACAACCATAGCAGGATCCTGCAGACGAATCCTCTGAAGTTCTCATTTCCTCTCGTTAGACTGGGAAGTACTGTAAAATACATGGACAAGTGAATAAATACATGATTGAGAGGAGGGTTTAAAAGTAAACCGTTGTTCTTGCATCTTTTTGATATTGATTTTAGGGTTTATGATTCTAGTCTTTTGAAAAGCTAGGTTTTTTTTATGTGTTTCAATCTTTGTCGTGTAATTTGAGTGTGCAACTTTTTTTTCTCAGTGTTTGCCAAGAGAAATTCAAATCAACTTAGTTGATATGGCTGTAGCGTATTAATTCTTGAATCTACTTGGACTTCAACTGAGCAGATTGAGTAGGAGCCCATAAACACAGAACATACGTATGGATGTTCACTGAATCATGATGACAGAAGGGTGATTTTTGTGGGCTGTTCTGACACAGACATGGTTGACGATGCTACCAAGAGGACCAATCACAGCTGTTGGTTGCCACGCATGTACATTGGTGGGGAGGTGCATTAAAGGCTACAGTGTAGTGTATGCAGCAATGCGATAACTAGGGCCTCGATTCTACATAGAAGTATAAACTATCTTTATAAACGTACCTCCTTGACCGTGAGATGGATCTTGAGTGCTTACGATTCTTGTCTCTGGAAAGAGAACGAAATCTATGTCTGTCTCTTGAAACAGACCTGGAGGGGAAAACCAAAATTAATTTAATCAACAAAACACAACATTTCAATAGAAACTGAGGTTACACCTACCTGCTGCGACTGCGGCTGAGGCTCCTCCTCTTCGGGGATCTATGTTGTAGGTGAATTAAAAAAAATGAAATCAAGATTTACAACAGAATTAGAATTGAACTCTTTCCTGTCAGTAATGAAACCTCTTATATTCTCAATCTTTAAAGAGGCACGGGTTGCACATGGAAACGTGGTTACACGTAGTTCCTTCTCTGTTTATAGAGGGATCATCTGCATCCATGAAATGCATCAAGATCCACTCATTAAAAATGAAACTTTGGCCAATGAGCACCAATCATGAAGCCAGATCTCAGAATCTACAGCAAAGTCAGGGCTCGACATTAAGGCTTACCTGGGACAATTATGTCAAGCAGGAACAACACATTATTATCTACACAGATTATCTCTGCAATTACACAAAGTGGTTTTAAACTATGCTGGAGGCACACAGCCATTATGGTAGAAAACACTCCTTCAGTCGGCCTGTGGTCATTTTCACCAAAACCATTTGTAGGTTTTAATTAGGAAGCCTTAGTGCTGGTGAAAGCACATTTTCATTTAAAAGTGAGCTACCATTAACAAAAAACACAGTGCAACTTATTTCAGTCAAGATGGCTTAATGTCGAGCCATGAGAAGACACTGAACAGCTCATGAAAGCAGTTAATTTTTGACAGATTACAATTTAAAACTAACAGCAAAGTTCCATGACCACAAGTTTTGGCCTTACGATTTTGCAGTTCTGCACTGAAATTGTCAAGCAGCGTTGATAGATTAAGCATAAAACTACAAAGAGCAGGATAAAAGAAACTTACTATTTTAGGGGATTTGGACAAGATAGAAATGACGCAAGGACGCCAGACTGATGGTGAGGGAGGTCGAATTGCAGAGAGGATTTGCCACATGATGCAAATGTTGGAGATATGAAGTTGCTCGGTGGCTGGTTGGAGGGGGTGGCAGTAGATGATTTTCCCTGCATTATTTGGGGGAAGTTGGGGGATGGGATGAAAGCCAAGGGCTGTTCCCGTTGATACAGTAGTTGTGTGGAGAATAGAAAGAGTAAAGACGCTGATTGGTTGATAAAGTGGACCGCTGTCGACTGGGTTAAGGTTGGAGGAAGAAGAGGAGGATGCTGGGAACTGCATGCTCAGGAACCAAAAGGTTGGTGGAACCTGCTGACTGGCGGTGCGCCTGGGTCATGTGACAACACCAGCCAAGCTGATTGGGGCTCGCTGGTCAGCAGTCACATGATGCTGAAAGAGGACTAGTTGACTGACTCAGATGGTGAGAAGCGTGGTGGTGACTCTGCAACGGGGTTCAGTTTTATTAATAGATGGCAACTGAACTCAAAGAAAAAAAATTTACACCTGCATAAAGTACCAATGAAAGTGTTAGATGGGTGATGAAACACTAACTGTGCATCTTAAGATGTCCCCATAAATCAACATCACTCTTGTGGAGCTTGGTGTTTTACAGGTGTTACTGTTCAAAATTCATAAACAGCCAAGTGCCAATAGACTCTTTCTAACACAACATTGACACAGATAACAAATGAAAAAAATACCTGATGACGGTGAAATAATGAAATTTTGTTTAAGAAACGCATCACTCCAGTTAAGGTAGGATAAGATTTTTTGAAGGAGTCAAAAAGCAAATATTTACACTGTGTGAGGAATGTAAATCTGCTGTGTCATTTGTGCTTTCAGGACTCTGCATATGAGACCATAAATACAAATATTAAATGAATTAACAACTGGGAAACACTTACCTGCGTCTGACTGGAGGACTACGTCGTCTTAAATCATCACGGGGGCGTCTACCCCAGGATGGGGGAGGGCCACGGCTCCTAGAGCGCTTTTCCCCAGTGGACAACTCGACGCGTAGTTTACAGCCACACATGTTTCTTAACAAAAAAATGATTATGTGTAAGAAAGTGCAGTAAAAAATAAGCAGTTAAACATACAACTAAGATATGTGCTAAAGGAATTACCTCCCATCCAGTTCTCGAACAGCGTCAGATGCATCTCTGGGATCTTCAAACTCTACAAAAGCAAAACCTGGTGGATTCCTGGCTACCCAAACACTTCTTAAAGGACCATAGTACCCAAAAGCCCTTTCTAATTCGGTCTTGTTTCCATTGTTTCCCAGATTTCCGACATAAACCTTGCAGTCAAGGGGACAGTCTCTGGTTAGAGCGGGATCTGAAACAAAGATGACCGCAAACACGGAGGGATACATTACACACACATTAGATGTTAAAAGGGCAATGTTAACATTTCTTCCTGCAAAGAACATAAAATTGCAAAATAACACTCATCTATTTACTAAACTTCTCACAAGGATGGGTAGCGAAGCTCTGGGTTGCTAACCACCTTAGTTAAAAAAGATTACTGGAGAAAACCTGGAGGCAAGATTCCTATAGTCAGAGTAACAAGTATCAAGTCATTTATCATACCTCCCATTTTACCAAACCAAGTCCTCTTCTTCAAATAATCTGATGAACCTGAAATGAAAGAAAGACATTGGGATATACATAAATAGCTCAATTAATGGTGTTAGTTTTTTCTAAATTTAGATTTTAGGCCACTACAAGCCTCCTCAAATTCTAAGAGGGCCATTTGACTTTACAAATACTGAAGTTAAAACTAACCTCAGCGTTATCTCACTGTGCAGTGACTTACCTGCGTGAGACACCTCCGGTTTTGAATTTATAATCACCTGGGTGCGATTAATAAAACACTCCTACACTCAAAGACATACCGTGAGACTATAGTGATCATTAAACAGATGTGTCGTCTGTGTGGTTTAGAAGGAGGCTGCTGGTTGAGGTACAACTGGAATGTGTTTCCTTTCACCGATGGGTGTGTCACCTACTTTGCCTCCCGACTGACATGAAGCACTATAAAAAACGAGCTCTTCTCTGTAGGATACAATACTGATCAACAGCTCCATAAAACACTCCCTTCAAAAAAATGTGTCATTGTTAAATAAGCATCTCTTATCATCGTATGACTATTTATTAGACGGTGTTAGTTTAACATACTTAAAATAACGTACTTGAAAATGTGCGTAACGTTAGGTTTCAACGTTTAAGTGTCAGCACTGGAACCACACTCCAATGCTAAGGCGAGCTAGCAAACAAAGTACCGTCGCGCGGTGTCGTTAGCTTGTGCGTAGAGACTTCCGGGTAGCGTTAGATTTCGTTTTCACCCTTTAAATTATCTTAAAGCCCAAATTTCAAGCACGTAAACAAAGTCCAGGTGAGATATGTACTTGTGTCTAACGTGCCACACGTTCATACAGTCGGGATACACGTCTTCCCGGCAACGATGCAAACATCCGAGCTAAAATGTGGCAGCCATGGGACCTGGCGTGAAAGGCAGCTAGCAACTTTAGCATCGAGCACGACGACGCGGTTTCTGAGGAGATTTACTTTTCCGAGTCAATCATTAAACTGAGCAGCGACAGATGATACAAAAGTAGTAATGGAAACAATCAGATTAGAATATTCAACACATTTAACTCACCTTTCGGTAGCTACAGCTAAATGACACTGTTGGCTGCAGATCTCACGCCGCCGTGTTCTGCTACTGCTGCTGCTGCTGATGCTAGCTTCACTTGTTGTTAGCGCCGGCGGCTGCTCGACGGAAGAGAGTCACAACTGCGCCTCTTCCGTCTTCTGCTTCTTCTTCTGAAGGTTTATTGGTGGATCGGGAAAGACGACGAGCGCTACCTGCTGTACAGGAAAGGAGAGTCAGGCCACGATACGGTAAATACAAGGTAGCACATGGACTGTATGTAGAAGTATTAACGTCACTCTCCAGCAGGTATTCTGAGAGAAAAAGTTCCTCCGGTTGCATCATTTTAACTAAGTTTAATCAGCAACTCTGGAAAGACTATTTCAAAAGTTGTTTTGTTAATGAAGGCATGGCTGGAGCCTGGAATACTTTTGTTTGGAGGATTGTGTGTTTGTTTGTTTCACTATTATGTCAAAATGTATATATACCTACACATACATACATATACACACACATGCATATACACATATAAACACACACACACACACATATATATATATATACGTATATATATATATATATATATATATATACATAAAAACGAAAAACCAAACGAGACAAAACAGAAAAGAACAAGATAGAAAAAAATATATATAAATTGAAGGCAACCTCATTTCCTGCTGTCCCATAGTGCATAGAACAAACTTCCTATAAGCCTAGAATACTAGGCAATAGCTTATTAGCTTGAAAAAAAGTTAAGCTTGACAATAGTGACTCATCCCGACTACACTGTAATTTGTTGAAGTCATCACACACATAAGAGGGAATTTCACATAGAGTCTACCTCTGCTTCTGATCCGGCATCGGCTGTAATAATCATAATCATTCAGCTAACACCAACCCAATCCCCCTAAATGTCAGCCACCTCAATTTTCCATGTGCATTTCCTCCCATCTCCATCACTACCTGCATCCACTGCAATCTGTTTATAGACAGGTAGAAAGACAGATACAGTAGAGTACATCATTAAACCTGATTAGAGATTTCAGAGTTACAACACCTACAGGTACAGTCACATAGATCACAAACCAAAGGAGATGAAAACACAAAGGGATGACTTTCTTCAAAACAGGTACTTAATATCTACATTAGACATATTTAGCTGATTTTTCTTCTACTACTTTTACTTTAGTATATGATTTGAGATATAACTTGTATTTTTATATTTATGTATTGACAAATCTACTTAAAAACACCACCAAAAGAGGGAGGTTAAGAAAATTGACAAACAAAGAAACAAAATTTAGTCATGTAAAAGTACCACAATCATTTTTCTGCTTGAGTAAAAGTATGTGCTTGTTTTTGAATATACATACATAGCTATCAATAGTAAAAGTACTTGCAGCGTGTGACCTATTGCAGTGGTCTGCTACATCAATATGGTTGAGTCCTGCGGTGGTGTTTTCCCACCCATCTTGATGTTTCTTCACCAGTGAGAACCTGCAAATGAATCTACTTGAGTTAAGTAAATATACTGTGTTACATCGCACCAGTGCACAACAGGTACTTTTAATTCAATTATATTTGGTAAATATATGTGATTCTTCTCCTTTTGTACTTTTACCTAAGTAGGATTTTAAACCTTTATTGTCATTGTGTCAAGTACTATGAAATTGGATTGGACCTTGCCAGTGCACATGTTGAAACCAATAATCTATGTGAACAAAATATCACATAGAGATAAGAATAGATAAAACAAACCCATATTGCACATTCACTCTGTCATCACATTGCACATGCACTTGCTTGCCAGTACAGATAGTATGCCATGTTGTAATTTTATGTGTAATGTTGACATGAAATACAAACTTTCTTTCTGCAGTTTGACCTTAAAAACAGAAAACAGTTCCTGTCAGCCATTTAGGTTGTGCTGGAACAAAATTAAATCAACAGTGCTGGAGGGTTATTGCTCAACAGGAGACAAGCGACACCACAAACGACCCCTTGTAACTGTTGAGGTATGTGGTCAGATACACTACATGCACTTCCTGCATAGAGACACATTCAAGAAGTTGTGCTAAGCAGAGGAGAAATGTAAGTATGGACATTTCTGTGCGTCTCTGACCATGAACCCAACCTGTCGGGACACACGTGCTGCAAACACTTGCAGATAAATCGTTTGTCGTCACACCAGCTCTGAACTCCAATTTCTTTATTCCTTGTTCAAATTTTAGAGTAATGATGCAACCTGATTGTCAAACATTTCTTTTGTAAGCCAAATAATCACACAGTGTTGTGTGTAGTAATTGCTTAGCTATTTCTGGAAATATTTAGGACAGAGTTAAAAATGTAATTGTATGAATTGAAAATTGTCACAGAGCAGTTAGTCACAAACAGGTCTCAGTGATTTATGATTGCCTGTCATGACAGATGTAATTGCTACTTGCTCGGCTTCCCTGTAACAGTTACCAGCTCATTTAATGAAGAATAATCACCCTCATTTACNTAGGTGCATCCAGTGAAAACTAATGCAGCCTAATGTAATTGGCCCTAAATTCCACAACACTCGGTTTTTGTTAAAACAGTTTCAGAGATATGTTCAATCAACTGTATGATCATTTTGCAGGAAGTAGTCTGTGATGATGTTGAATACTATTGCGGGAAACCAATGTGTTCTTTTCCCTCCACATTTATACCACAGAGGGTATAGGCAAAGTAACAGAAACAAGTCTCTGTGAAAGCAAAAGTGATTTTTTCGGGATTTATGAGGAGAAGTGCAACATAAAAACATTCTGTCAACACCAATCGCAGTTACAGAGAAGAATCATATTATGTGACCATGTTTTTCAATGTTATCTGTGAGAGTACAGATTGAATACATGTGTCATTTCCCCTGGTTAACGCCTCAAAAGTTTCCTTTGTTCAAAATCATGTTTATTTGCAATTATTGTAAAGTTACGAACATCAAGGTTATAAACAATTGTTAAGTGGTGTCCAGGATTATACAAACAAAACATTACAGTAATAGTAGTAATGAAATACAGCCGGAGTGAAATAATGTTAGTGTTTGAACTGTAGCATAAACGGAAAGAAATGTCAGACAAAGAGTCAGGAGGAGCCACACATCTGGAAGTCTTTCACCCCTTTAATCTGACTGTGTGTCCATCATGCATGACAGTGATCCAGTGCCAAGGACTCAAATCACTGTCGTGTGGGGGTAAACATTCGTAGAAAAGCGAATCCAATGAAAAAGTACGTCAGATGACATTAACAAACGAACACAGGCCACTGTTATTTCCAAGACCATTAAGTGGATTCAAACCCCTGTTGTCTGAATCTAAGTACATTTACTCAAGAAATGTACTTAAATACAACTTTTCTGTCACTTAATCCATCAGATTAATTACATTTCGAGAAATACATACTTCAAACCCACTACTATGGTATGTTGGTATGTGAAAACTATATTTAGTAGTTACTTTGCAGATTGAGATTCTACATGGATTACATATGATTATAGTTCTTAG